GTCCTATGGTGCGGTTAAACACCGTATCTCATCTTTGATATAGTTCTTTTATATCTTTTACTTTCAAAAAATTCTCATATCTTTTAGATTCTGAGCTTCTGTACACGTGAACGATATAAGGAGAAATATACTAGCTCATACTTTCCAAACCAACTTATTTCTGTTGTTTTCTTAAGGAGATTTTCCACCAAAGAGGAAAATTAGAAAGTTCAAAGAATCAATTCAGAGAGGAGAGAAGATGGGAAAGTGTTTAGAACTGGAAATTCCCCCACTTACTCATGGTTACCTTGATTGGCCCTTCATGGTAACCGATTGAAAGCATGAACACATCTGTGATTTAAAACTAATTTTTTACCAATTGGCATAATTTGTATTGATTGGATAGAAGATATAAGCATTATAAATTGAAGTTTAGGTTCCCAAAAAGACTAAAAGCCATTCAGAAACCTAAATCACTCATTGAAACAGAAAGGAAATTGAAAGAAAAAAAAAAAACACAGATGAACAGGTCGTCTTCGGAAACTGACTTTGGTCGGAAGTTTGCGGTCCCTGTGAACAGGTGCCACCGAAAGCTTCTGCTGAGCTGCTACCTGATAAGGACTGAATATCCTGTCTTCTCTGCATCACTTTGCATCTAGCTCACATTACTTCATTTCCTTTCTGGGACCTTCCCCCGGATTCTTCATATAAGGTCAAACATAAAGGAGAGCTGCACTGAGTTCTGGTTGTCCTGAGTGGCTTCCTCCAACTTTGTCCAGGCATTAATTTTTCTAAGCCTCAATTTCCTCAACTATAAAATGTCAATGATAATCTCTGCCTGGTGGATATATCCTTAAGTTTTTGATATATTATTTATGAAATAAGACATAAAGTATCTGAAAGTGATACTTTATATTATTGTCATGTGTTTTATAAGGAAATTGAAAAGAGTTTATTTACACTAGTTTGGTTTCTTCGGTTTTCATTATGTGTTTCTTTGCTTTGGAGAATTGAATCCTCCAGGGCTAACCACACAGGAAGTTAGCTTCCACATTTAGACAAATAAGGGACAACTGAAAAACCTTCTGACCCCCAAATTTCTCCCACTCTGCATCCTGACCCTCTACACCTTCTTTTGTCCTATTTGCTGTAAATTTAACATGTACAGAAACCTTCCCTTCATTTAACAAATAATGATGGATGATCTGAGCATATAAATGATTGTACACAGGAAGACACGGTTGCAAGTGAAATGACGTGCTTTCACTAATTACGTCAGGGCAGCAGGTGTCAACAAGGGCTGTGCTGGGCAACCCCTACTTAGTGTTCCCTTCTTTACAGGAATTAAAGTTGATTGCTTTCTCAAATATAAAGGAGAGTTCTTACACTTAAAAAATTACTGTAGGAGGGAAGGGAGCGTTGACAAACAACTTAATTTTTTTATAATAAAGTCTAGACTATGGTAGAGGACTTAAATAGCATGAGAGCCTGTGCATACCTTGAAGGCCTACTGATAACATGTGCTTAGTTCCTTGGCTGGATTTTACCTTTGCAATGACTGCCTACTCCCACCTGTGCACCTGGGAAATGGTTATTTATCTGTCAAGTGTACACTATTTTCATTATGGTAACCTGCCTAACTATTCTAGGATATCCAAACTTCAAAGATAGTTGGTGTACGATTAACAAAATTACATTTTCACACTTCTACGAGAATTGCTAAAGGAGAAAAGGGACATTAATAAATGGTGTAACTGGACCATGATTTTTATGTTAGTCTAATCAGCTGTTGAAAAGTCCTGCGTTGCATGTGGAAAACACATACGGTAAGGATTATCATGTGTGTCAGGATGTTTTCTTTCTCTACACCCCAGACTTGGAAGAGATCAAATCATGTTGCAGATTTATAGGACTAATATCTTCTCATGCATCATCACAACCACAACATGCTATGTGTAGTTAGTGTCAGATATACATTTAAAATATCTGGAGAGTATTAGGTTAAGCAAAATAAACCAGTAAGAGAAAGACAAGTATTGCATAATTTCACTTATATGTGGAATCTAATAAACACAATAAAGTGGCAAGCAAAATAAATCCAGAGACATTGAAGCATACAATAGACTGGCATATTTTAGAGGAAAGGGATGGGGAGGATCAGGAATAGATTAACCCAAGAACTCATATGCATATATTGATAGCTATCAACAGATAATAGTGCAGGGAAATCCTGTGGAGGGGGTGGGGGCAGGCTGCAGGGGCTCAATCAGGCCCAAAAAGGGGACATCTGCAATACTTTCAATAATAAAGATACAAATAAATAAATAAATAAATAAATAAATAAATAAATAAATAATCTTAAGTTGTTTTAACCTGAAGAAATCAGCAAATGCACTAGTTATTCCCTTAAGTACCAAATTTAACACCTCCAACAATCATCAGCAGTATTCATATGTGTGCTTACTATCTAATCACAGTCTAAAATTACATATTTCATAACCCTACAGTCCCACAAGTCTCCCAGGATAACACTCAACATTTTGTAAGCCATATGTTTTTATACATATTCTTTTTTAAATTCACATTTATTGATTTATTTATTCACTTTTTCCATGAGTATATCCTGAGCATACACACTAGTTTCCAGTTACTATTTCAGGAATTAAAGGCAGAAGGGACAAGATAGGAAAAATTCTTGCCACAAGCAGCTTACAGACTAGTAAGGAAAGTAGATTATAAATAATACTAGAGGCCTGGTGCATGAAATTAGTGCTTGGGCCGGTCCCTCAGCCTGTCCTGCACCCTCTTGCATTCTAGGACCTTTCAGGGGATGTCTGACTGCCCGTTTAGCAGACTGAGGGATCAGGCCTAAATTGGCAGTTGAACATTCCTCTAGCAATCTGGGATTGCTGGCTCCTAACCACTCACCTGCTTGCCTGATCACGCCTAACCACTCACCTGCCTACCTGATTGTCCCTAACCACTCCCTGGGGGGTGGGGCCAGCAGGGATGAGGGGCCGTGGTGTTCTGGTCTCTGGTCATTCTGGTTGTTCCACCATTTCGGTCACTGGCCTTTTATTATATAGGATGTAGGATAATATAATATCAGATATTGTCAAATGATATAGAGACAGATAAAGCTTTATAGAAGCTTAGAGTGTGGCATTTTTATTTTACTACATATGAAAGGCAAGTGAAGAGGAAAGTTTAATAGTGAGGGAACTGAATTAAAGGGAGAGCAAGCCATGCAAGTAGGTGGAGGAAGATCTATTTAGAGAAAAGGCAAAGACCTTATAGTGGAAGTATAGTGGAACAGCAAAGAGGTTACTATGAGAGAAGGCAGTGGCTAATAGGAAAAATAGCTGAGAGGTAGCCAGGGACCAGATCATGGACCTACTTAAATATAAGGAAGTTGAATTTTATGGTAAGTCTTACAAGAAGCCACTAAGGGTGGATAGAGGAGAAGAGTTGAACAACTCACCAAAATTATATCATTTAATTACAAAACAAATCCTTGAGCTGCTATTTGGAAAACATACCAGGAAATTCACTGAAAAATAGAATGAAAGCAAAGAGACTTTAGGACCAACATGTACCTCTTCATGTCTTAGGTAAACAAATAAATATGATGGCCTAACTAACCTACAGTAGATGATAATTTCCAACCTAAGCAAAACATTTTCCCAAAGTCCTTATTGTACAAACAGAATGTCTCTACTCTAAAGAAGTGACATTAATGATACAATTTTTGGCATCATTGTTAACCAGAACGGTATTTTGATCCCCTCCTTAAGTCACCATACATGGACATTTTGTGTTTATGTTGACCTTAATAAATTATCTGTATTATAATTATACTATGGCAATATATATTAAGACATACTTAAAATGTCTTAAATCTCAGAGATATATGAAAAAATGATCTACTAGGGAAATAATGATAATAATCTACATAGGGAGAAATAAGAGGATAAAATGCTACCGAGGGAAAATCAGAGTGGTTTAAATGACGGTAAAATTCGACAAAACAAATTAACAGGTGATAAATGAAACAGATAATTCAAGATAAACAATTTTAGAACATAGAAAGGAAGTTCCAGACCACAGGGTTTCTATTTCCTGCATTAAAGCACCTACTTACTAAATGATAACTTAAAAAAAAAAAAAAAAAAAAAAAAAGCTAGTCCCCAGGAAAGAAGTGAATGACAGACTTCTGAAAGCCAACTTATAGTTTCCTAAGAAACTCTTCCACAGTGAAGAGAGATGCAGGACAATAGATTTAAAAATTCTTAAACAATAAATCCTCTAGCTCTAAACAGTGTCAGGTTCATAGTAGATGTTCAATAAATATTAGTTAAATAAGTTAATGAGCCAAAACCGGTTTGGCTCATGGATAGAGCGTCAGCCTGTGGACTGAAGGGTCCCAGGTTCGATTCTGGTCAGGGGCATGTGCCTTGGGGTTGTGCAGGAGGCAGCTGATGATGTTTCTCTCTCATCCATGTTTCTAGCTCTCTATCCCTCTCTCTTCCTCTCTGTGAAAAATCAATAAAATATATTTTTTTAAAAAATAAGTGAATGAATGGAATTCCAGAGAAATATTACTCTGAAAATGATTTCCATCTCAAAAATATGAATCTCTAACTTTGAATTTTTATTTAGATACACCGCTTCCTAAGCTACGTTTGTTTTCTATAAATTTAAGGAAGGATGTCACAGACTCTGGGAAATCCCACGTGTCTTTTCATGCTACACCTACAGTTGTGAGAAAGCACATTTCAGACAGTAGGGAAAACCCACCGCTCACCACAACAACATATTGTAAATTGCCTGGGCCACTGGGGCATAAATTAAAGGGAACTGGAGTGGTGGAGTGATTAGAAGGGAAGAGGAAGGGGGCGGAGACAGCATCTGTGACTATAAATGATGAACTCTCTCTGAGACTGAGCTAGAGCTCCAGCAAAGACACTCACTGTGGCTTGGCTTGGCCTGAGAGTAAGCAGAGGATATTGGCTAGCGTAAAGATGGACTCTGAAGATTGCTCCCTAACAGACAACAGCTCCGTGGAGAGAGGACGACAAAGTAAGTCAGATCTTGTTTTCATATACCACTTATAACTGTCTATATCGATGATATACACAGGAAGGGCCAAAGGTAGGTTTACAGTTGTAAGGACATGAAACACAGAGTTTATTCTGATATTATTATTGCATTAATTACGGTGTTATTTTTCCATACAAACAACTGTAAACCTACTTTCGTCCCCCCTTCTCCACTCTTCACCCTGTATTACAGGATTTAGGAACTTAGGGGAAGAAAATGAGCCTTTGACGTTTGAAGAACTTGATTACATTCTATGTCGGTCAGGATAAAAGAGAAAATGGGAAGAAGTCAATATTTTTTTTAATCTATGAAAAGATAAGATCCCTGAGAAGAGAGGAAACACAAAGTTGCATTTGAGAAGATTTTCAAAGATGTGTTTCTTTGTTTCAATGTATATGATCTCATTTTCTTAGATGAAATGATAAAACTCCCTGCTCTGGACCAGTACACTCTCTATAATTTTTTCTATGTCTATCTGCACATATTCCAGGAAGCATTGACTTTCTTTACAAGAATTCTGTGTAGCTCATAAGCCATTATGCTCTTGACTACCTTCACTTTGTACCTTTGTGTGCTTTCTGCATGCCCCGTCTTGAGTGCTCATGACAGCATCTTCTAGTTACTGAAAATAAAGGTTTCCAATCTTTGAGAGAAGAGCCATATAGGCATCTTTTACATTTACAGTGTCTAACGGAAATTTATTCAGAGAATGCCATGAAACAATTCTTGAAAATGCCATCTTCTGCTTCTATAATCTTTATGGGACTCTTTTTCTACATTCCATCCTTCAGTTTCATGCATCCAGTCACTGGCTTCATTTTCCAAATGAATCAGACATTTTTCTTTTTTTCCCATCAAAATATGACTATAGTAGCTGTATACTATTTCCTCTCTTCTATTAAAGTCTATTCTGTCCAGAGACCTATTCTATTTATTATACCAGAATTTTCTCATTGTTTTTCTATAACTGATTTCTATGAGGCTTTCTTTCTTTTCTTTCTTTCTTTCTTTCTTTCTTTTCTTTCTTTCTTTCTTTCTTTCTTTCTTTCTTTCTTTCTTTCTTTCTTTCTTTCTTTCTTTCTTTCTTTCTTTCTTTCTTTCTTTCTTTCTCCCTTTCTCCCTTTCTTTCTTTCTTTTCATTTATGCCTCCTCCTTTTTTGAATTATTGAAGTACTCCAAAACCTAATATGTAGGAAATACAGTTTATTTGTAAGCAGTAATTAAGGGGTGCGTTGTGGATAGCAGAGCTGAAAAAATCTAGAGGAAGGATTGTTTTTAGAGTGTGTGTCCACTAAACTGTTTCACATTAGAAAAGCTTTGATTACCTCCCCTAAACCCCTCTTTCACCTTGGAACACAAAATCAACTACAAGTACAAACTATACAAAATTTCTGGTAACCACATAATCATAACTTTACGGACTAGTTGAATTACCAAAAAGAAAAATAATTGTAATAGTAAACCTACTGAATAAATAGAGGGCATAGTTGGCAAAAAGGTCCTAATTCAGGAATTTTTAACTTTGCCTGAGATCATCCCCATTTCCTGTTGAATGTTTAGTTTATGTTGCCTTATACATACTTTATTCATATGGGGGTGGGGGGGTGGGGCAAAAAACCACTGGGCATAACCCTTAGTTGACCCAACCTGTAATAGTGGATTTATTTTCAATTTCTCCATTAATGGACAGAGGCCATAATCAGAGCGGAAGGAGACTCTCCCGGGGAGTGTTTTGTCACCTAGGTGATAGACCAAGCTGAGCAACAGCAGCCCTCACTAATGGATATAAAGTACCATTTGAACACCCTCTGCACGGTTCACCCACCGGCTAGGCTGACAGACTGAGGTGAACTTCGGAGCCCTGAGCTGTCTGTATGAGCTGATACTGACTGGGGAACAAGGGCTGTGTTGCCGCATTGAGGCTAAGAAGCATGATGAGAAGTGAAACTAGACAGAGAGCTCTGAACTTGCTATCTACCTACCATGGGCTCCTTCCGGTAACAGCTGCATTCTGGTGGGGGGAAAGGAAGATTGGCTTTGAGGAGCTGAAAGAAATAGAAATAGATAGGAGCCAAGCAGAGGCATCTCGTGAAAAATCCGAATGCAGATCCAGGCTGGGAAAAACCGCCCCCGAGGCAGAAGCTGATGCTGACATTCAGTGCATGGGAAATTCCTCGTTAAGAAAGCAAGGTCTCAGCCCAGTTGAACTTCAGAGAAATGTCTTAAGGAAAAATACATGCATTTCAAGATATGGGCTCCTAATTGTAAAAGTCATCTATATTCAAAAGCACGATATATTCTCATTTTGAGGCTGTTTTGATGGTAAATTTTAATATCATTCAGGTAGCAATTTTGTATGTCAGTTTCTCAGAACATAAAAGGGAACTATGTATTTCTTGCGAGGCCAAGGTTTTGAAAATGTCACTCTTTCTAGCAAAAAACAAATTCAAACTCTGAGCTACAGGATCCCATGCTCTCCTTTCTCCATTACTTATTTGTATTTTGGAACAGATACCCTTCTAGATTTTCTTTGATGTGTGTTTGTGTAATTGAGAATCATCACTGACATCATACTTATATTCTAAATCCTTCCACAGAAATATTTTATTGGTGAAATCAAAATTTTACTATGTGTTAGCATTAAATAAAGGATAAATGCGGGGAAATAACTTCTTCCCAATGTTTGGTCTTTGATACTGTTATATTTCCTCTATTATTTTGAATTATCTTGAAAATTCAAATATTTTATGTGTTTTAAATGGTGGTATAGTTTACATAGAATGGATGCATAGATCATAAGTGTGCAGTTTAATGGGGTATAGTTACAACTCCAATCAACATTTGAAATTGTCATCTCTCTAGAAAGTTCTCCTGTATTCCTTTCTACTCAGATTACCTTTCCTACACACATAAAAACTTTCACTTTTCTGAATTCTGTCACCACAGCTTAGTTCAGCTATTCTTAAATGTCACATTAAAGGAAATATGTAACTGTAGGTGGATTTTTTCACTCCACATTTTTTTACTTTTTCCATTTTGTTGCATGTATCGGTTGTTCTTTTTTAATATATGCCCTTTTATGGATAATAGCGTAATTTGTTTATCAATTTTCCTGTTGATGTGCATTTGGGTTATTTCTAGAATTTAGCTCTTAAGAATAAAACTGCTATGAACATTATTATACAAAGTATTTTTGAGACATATTTTCATTCCTTTTGAAAAAAATACATAAGAGTAGAATTGCTGAGTCACAGAGTAGGTGTATGCTTAATTGTGTAAGAAACAGTTTTCTAAAGTTATTTTTTTCATTTTAATCTTCCAACAGTAACTTATGAAAATTTCAATTGTTTCACATCTGTACCAATTTTACCAAAACGTATCAGTTGTTTTTATTTTCTGTCATGCTAGTTATAGATATTAATATATCAATTCATATTTTCATACTATCCCCCATTTATTCTCATGTACATTATTAGTCTTAAACAATAAATAATAAATACAGAGAGGTTAAGGGATTATGGTTACGATTTTTTAAAATATGTCATCTAGGGTGACCAGGTGTTTAATAAATGTTCTTATTGGGATTAAAGCAATAAAACTATGATAGATGCAGAATTTTCATAGCTACTAAGTACATATGTTAGGAAGATGTTTTATGAACTCATCATTATACCTATATTGTTTCATTTCTAGCCAAAAAGAAATTGTCCAAATTCACTCAAACTTTGGGGAAAACTGGCATCAATTTTATAGATGTTAGGGAGACACATTACTTTTTAAATGAAATACTGCAAGAAAATTTCAAATGTCCCCATCTTACTTCTGTCATCTGCCTGAACTCACATCAACTTTCTCTCTTCAGATAATGGGGCCAGCCTTCACTTTGCAACACATCATGAAGGGTCCCTTCAAGTTCCTATCCCATGTGCTGTCCTGAATGTGGTCATCATCACCATTTTGATCATAGCTCTCATAACTTTATCAGGTGGGTCTGCACTTCATGAATTCATTGAGTCTCTTTGCTGTCCCCGTTGTAATCTCAGCTGAAATCAGTGGGATTCCTTGGTCAAATTAATCAGCAATTCCAAGCAATTTAGCATCATCCTATATATCATCCACGGTGGATTTCCTAAAAAAAAAAAAAAATACTAATACAATTTCATGTTCCTTGGGTGGTTAATGTAATGCTATTTGGAGTTTTCTAGAGCTTTTCTTTTTTATTAAATGTATTGGGGTGACATTGCCTAATAAGATCATATAGGTTTCAAGTGTACATTTCTATGATACATGATCTGTATATTGCATTGAGTGCCCACCGCCCACAGTCAAATCATCTTCCGTCACCATCTATTTAGCTCCCTGTACTGTTTACTGCCCTCCAACCCCCTTCCCTCTGAAAACCACTGTGTCTATGAGTTCCAGTTTTATATCCTCTCTTTGTCTCCACAACTCAGGGGCCTTTCTGTAAGTATGAAAAGTGTCTATGATTTTATGATTACTGTGGAAGAAAATTACATTACTATGGATTTAAATATGAAATGACAGGAGCTGGCTTAGATTCTAAATAAATCAACAGTTAAGTTAGAAAAAAATGTGGGCTTCACTTTCATTATTGACAGAAAAATGTAATATCTATAGATTCATCAAGATTTTGTCAGTCTTTTGTCTTTCATCTCAAAGACTGCCAAATCGTGGCTATGAATAATTATAACTGGATCTAGAAACTTCCAGAGTCAATTGTCATGAGATATTAAAAGTATACCACTATACCAAGAGGCATTTGTGTCTTTTACAAACACTATATTTATAATTTTATGAAACTTTTCCAGCCAGAGATCTTTTTGTGTTCTGAATTACAGCCATAGATCTTTTTGTGTACTTCCCTGCAAATAATTCTCTCCTTCACATTCCAATACCGTGTTTTGTCTCCTGAAAGTTTAAATCCCTCCACTTCTGCATTCAGATTCAAAACCCTTCTTGAAATTTATAAAGCACTTTACCCTTTCTAGTTCAAGGCTGTTTTTAAGATTTTTCTTGTCTTTTGTGTTTGTTTGTTTGTTTGTTTGTTTGTTTGTTTTTGTTACCACTTTTGGACATTATGGCCCAAGAGTCACCTCCTTTTCTCTTACTAGTATACCCTGTCCAATGATGATTAGGCGCGATGGGAGATCTGATAAGATGAGGACCTGCCTTCTTATGCTTCTCAGAATTTGCCTTTTTGCCTTTCAGCCTTCACTTTATCACCTACCCCAAGAATGAGGTTTTCATGCTGTGGGTATTTAACTTATTTTGTTACTAAAACTATTTTCCTGTCCACAGTGGGCCAGTACAATTGTCCAGCGCCATATATGTTTTTGGAACCATCAAACAGCCATGCTTCTTCATGCTCAGATGATTGGATTGGATACCAGAGGAAATGCTACTTTATTTCCAATATAACAAGGAATTGGACCTTGGCCCAAAACTCTTGCTTCAAACACGGTGCTACTCTTGCTGTCATTGATTCTGAAAAAGACATGGTAAGATAGGATTCAAACACAATTTCATAAAATATTGCTGTTTTCTTTTATAGAGCTAATCTGTGATTTCCTTCTGTTTCCTAATAAGTGAAGAAGACATTGTACCTGTGTCCATGTAGGAACATTTAGCCTGAGGTCAAATGAGGGTTCTATTTAGTCTTGCCAATTTGATTTGGACACCTAGCCTTAAAGGCTAGAAATCCAAATGAGTCAATTCTATACAGAGCTAATGAATGATCAGCTATTTTACTTGAGATGCACCTTTTTAGAAGCTGATTTTGAGAATTATTACATATATTTACCCATAATAGCTGTTTAACAAGTATCTCCTTTGTCATTGTTTTTTCAAGATCTTTTTAAAAAGATATGTGGGTAGAGCTGAACACTGGATTGGGCTGAAAAATGATGCTGGTCAGACATGGAAATGGTCAAATGGCAAGGAATTTAACAACTGGTAAGTTTCAAGATGTTTCTTTATCTTTCCCAGCTGTTAGCTCAGGGAAACCATTTTCCGTTTCCGCTCTTCGCTTTTGTATGCTTATACTCTTTGGAATTCTTTAAAGAAAAACTTTCATATTAATATTATCGTTTTGCTTTTTTCATCTACTTGGAATTCATACAATAAATGCTTCTTGTAATTTGATCTCAGAAAAAAAAATAATATGAATAGAAGCTCAGAAATATTCCAGGAATAATTGTGATGATAAAATCTAACATTTCCAATATCAAATTAATATTTTACCGATAAACTAGTTTTTGACAAACAATTCCCTCTTACTCTTTCCCTGTTCTCATCTATACAGGGATAAAGAACAATATTTTCATATCTAATTAGCAGCTTCTGTGGACCTGAAAGAAAACTTCCCCCAGAATTAAAGATGCTGACTTAATTTTATTATCATTTATTTTATTTTTTAAATACAGATTTTATCAATTTCAGAGAGGAAGGGAGAGTGAGAGATAAAAAACATCAATGAGGAGAGAAAAATCACTGATTAGATGCCTTGTGCACGCCCCTTACTAGGGATCAAACCTGCAACTCAGGCATGTGCCCTGACCAGGAATTGAACCTTAACCTCATGGTTCACTGAGCCATGCTGGCGGGCCCAAATGGATACACTTTAGTCCTAGCTTTGTTCCTTCCTTACACTTACTCCTCCTCTCAATCCCTGTCTCCTCTCTCTCTAGATTAGTCTATGATCATTTGACTGACAGGCTTGCTTCATGCATTTCTACTCAGTAAGTATGTAAATAAATAAATAAGTAAACAAACAAATAAGTAAATAATGCAGAGGCCACTACTACCACAAAGTTTTTATGTTCATGTAACTCAAGGGAAATGATGAACTGAAAGTAATTCTCTGTTTCTTTATTGTTCGACAGGTTCAACCTCACAGGGTCAGAGAACTGTGCGTTTCTGAATAGCACAGAGGTCAGCAGCACAGAATGCGGAAGGCATTTACATTGGATATGTAGCAAACCCTTCAAACAATGAGGAACCCTGTTTGCATATAGACTATCCCATCATGGAACTCAAGGCAATTCATGTGGATGGATGCTGTTCTATGGTCAGATGTTTGCCATAAGGACTTTGTGGAAAAAACTTGCTATGATTCTGGAAACTTCCTTCCAAACAAGACTGTGGAAGAAAGGCAGGGAAATTGCAGGACTATCTGCATTGTAGAGCACCCTTGTTGTGACCTGAAAACATCACAGGTTGATGGATATGTATGTCCAAGATGGAGAAGAATGACTTTAAACCTTTTGAGTGCACTTTATACTTTTTCAAATTCAAAAATAATATAATAGTTAGATTTAGAGTTATTATTTATTGCCGAATGACTACCAACGATGAGTGTCCTTCACGCATTTGCACTAGTAGAAGCAATTAGATGACAGTATTAAAAACTGAATGTAAACAAAAGAAATTGTAACTGGTAACACAGATATTTAGTCTAAATGCATTTGTTGAACTCAGAGGACATTTATAGGTGGACAAATGCTTATGAAACTAAGCTTTGTACTGTTTCTCTCTTTTTGGAGAAGTTTGCTAGACTACTTTGTCACTTTTTTACTCCCAAAAGACTGGGATAACCACATATTTATGTTGTTTGTTTTTACTTCTTCAATGTCTTTTTCAATGGTACTTAATTCTTTGCCTTTAAAACCTTATCCACCATATATTACAAAGATAAAAACAAAACCAAAGAGCATGAGAAATATTTGTAAAACAGATTAAGTGTCGGAAAGTGTGCAATATATGATGTGCAAATCCCTATTAGAAAAAAATTCTGTATTGTTCAAACCTAGAATAAGACAATATCTGATTATAAATGTGTGCCTCTCCTAATCAATGTTATCACATGCAGTACTTCATGTGAGGTGTTTATAGTGCAATAAAGTGTTTGTCTTTTGTATTCAGTGCAATTATAAGCTGCTTTTATGTTCGTCATAATGAAAATGAAAACAAAATGATTTCTGAGAAGTGTTTGCTCACTTAAAATACTCTAAAAATTATGTCATACTAGAAATAAGAAAAACAGAATGCTATAACATTGTTTTTCAAAAGGTTATCTACTGTAATACCTTAGCTTTATAATGTGGTTTCTACTTTTTGAATTATTTTTACATGTCTGTTTCCAAAAAGGCCTTATCCATTCTTCTGTATAATAGCAGACGCTCAGTAAATATTATAATTGACTTGAAAAGAATCTATGCCATTTAACATGTTTCGTCTCTATTATTTTCTTATTCTTTATTGTTTATCACCCTCATACTAAAGAAAAACATAGTAAGCCTGATCGGTGTGGATGAGTTGATTGAATGTTGTCCCTTACACTGAGAGGTCATGGGTTCAATTCCTGGTCAGGGCACATGCCTGGATTGCAGGCTTGATTCCCCAGTAGAGGGTATGCAGGAGGCAGTTGATAATCTTTCTCTTTCATCAGATGTTCCCCTCTTTCAAAAATCAATACAAAAAAATTGTTTTTAAAGATAGTTATAACTAATAAACAAATTTAAATTTTAAAAAAACGTAGAGAAAGTAGGAGATGCCTAATGTCGTTTTGTGGGGACCTATTTATAACCTCATTCTCTCTCCAATAAGAAAACAATTGGTCCTAACAACCAATGCTCTAAAAGCATCTTGTTCAATTCAAAAACGCTGTACATATTTTAGTCATCTACTCTTCTGAGTCATGTTAGGAAAAATGTCTTGTGATTTGTGTTCCATGAAATGTGTAAGCAGAAAGTGTTGCTGTTAAGAGCCAGATCCCAGGAGAAAGATTGCCTGAGTTCATCTCTGCCATTCACTGGTGGGATAGCTGTTACCTTTGAATGAGTTAGAAATGCAGTTAAAATAGCTGGAAACTGAATTAGTTAATACATGAAAAATGACTGAGAACATACCTGGTTGAAGAGCATTGTTGTTATCTGTGTTTTATTTTGCTTTTCCAAGGTAATTTCAATTTCTTCCTCTGGAAAGGAAAAAAATTATTTACTGGCTTATTTTACATAATTTTAGAAATTCAATAAAGTTAAAAGTATTTAAAAAATGATAAGGTGCCATTAAAATGTTATATACTATAGTCAGTCTTAAATTGACTCAAAATTTTATAAAATGAATATGGCAATGCTTTTTCTAAGTTTGTTTTCAATTTTTATAAATTTGATAAGATTTTTATTCATGGAAATGTATCATAACTAAAATTAAATTGCTAAAAAAATTCTGAACAAAATGTTAAAAAATATATATAACCAGAGAGACTGCTTGGGATAATATAAATTGATTTAGTTTAACCTTTGGAAAACATACTTATTGAAGATACTTATCAATAATCTTAAAAATATTCATTCTTTCTTTCATGTGACAATTTTGGGGAGAGGAGATGAGTGGATTTTACAGGAATAGTCTTGGATAAACCATAATATTTATCTAATGGCTTTTTTTACTAGCAATAAGTCAGAACCACATAATTGTCCAAAACTAAAGATTTAGTTAAGTATGTTTCTATTACATGATAAAAAATATGCCAACATTGAAAAAATAATAATGAAGAAGAATGTTTAATTATATGGGAGAATACTCAAACTGTTATTGCTAAACCAGTTAAAATCATATATATACAGTAAGATACCATGCCATTAATAAGCATTATATTAATAATCACTATGCTGAGCTAAAAGTAAATTAGGACCTGTTGTATGATTCCATTTATATAAAATCCAAGAACAGGCAACACGAAGGGACAGTGACAGAATCAGTGGTTGCCTCTGTAAGTGAGGTGGGAGGAAGATGTGGGAGGGGCATGAGGTGTTTTCTGGTCTACAGCTTGTTAGAGCGGTCTTCATCAGCATACACGTCTGTCAAACATAACAAATAGATACTTTAGCTCCATGTTTTATTGGATACAAATATACCCGCAATAAAATTTGTCAAAATATCAAAAAACACTAATCATATGTTTTGTGTTTCTGTGAGCAGAAAGAAAGATGTCAAAGATAAAATGGTTTCCCCTGAGTAGTAGGAATATGGGAAATATTTATGTTCTGCCCTATGCTTCTCTATAGATTAAAAATGTCCTAAATAAATAGTTATTCACTCTTCATAAGAAAAACTTTTACTTTAAATAAACCCAAATACAAGATCATTGAAGCAAATAATTTTATAATTTAAAGTACAACTTTACTTCTGGTAACTAATTTAAAAATAATTACTTTCTAGTAACCGCAAGTTGGCTTCATGAATCTTCCCCAAGGTGTCCTAAATTGTCTTTTGGCTCCGCCCTCATTATCCCTCCCCCGCATTGTGGGCACCCAAAAGTGGCAGTGTCCCCTAGTGGCTGGATAAATTGTTGCACTTTTTGTTTTGTCTTCTCTTGGGCCAGAAGATATATTTAATCTGGGAACAATTGTGACTTTTATTTGCAAGCACAGTGTGATAGTGTAATCAGTTTTTGTGTTTAATTATAGAGACATTTCATCTAGCTTCTGCCCTCAATAGAAATAAAATAAAAATCTGCGCTCCAAATAGTAATATCTAAAATGCACTTTTATTCTGTTTTGTTTTTCAGCTTTATTGAAGAATAATCATTATACCAAAAACTATACATAATTAATGCATATTTTTGCTACAATCCAAGTAATACACATACTCACCATCTCCAAAAGGTTACTTTGGTTCCTGTGTGGGTTTATGTAGGTGTTGTGGTAAGAAACAACATGAAAACTAACCTCTTAATGAATTCAATAAAGTTGCAATGCACAAAATCAATATATGAAAACCAGGTGCATTTCTATACACCAACAATGCACTATCTGAAAAAGAAAGCAATCTCACAATAGGATCAAAAAGAATAATCTATTTAGAAATAAACCTAATCAAAGAGAAGAGTGACATGTATTGGAAACTTTAAAACATTGATGAAATTAATTAGAGCAGACACAAGCAAATGTAAACGTTTTCTGTGTTCATGAATTAAAAGAATTAATATTGTCAAAATCTTCATCTTACCTAAAGTGCACTATAAACAGTACAATTCCTAACAAAATTCCTGAGACACTGTTTGCAGAAATGTATTTTTTAAATTAAAATTTATCACCCTCATACTAATGACAAAAGACCCCAAATAGGCAGAACAACCTTGAGTGAAAAGAACAAAGATGGAAGATTTACACTTCCTCATTTTCAAATATATTACAAAGGTACAATAATCAAGAGTATGGCACTGGAATAAAAATAAACATGTAGACCAATTGAACTGAATAGATAACTAATAAACCCACACAACTGGTCTTTGACAAAGGTGTCAAGAATACAAATGGAGAAAGGGTACTCTCCTACATGTTGGGAAAACTGAAGGTCAACCTCCAAAATAATGAAATTAGATCTTTATTTCAACACACACACACACAAAAAAAAATTTGCTCAAATAGATTTTAAAATTGAGCACAGGATCTGAAACCATGAAAGTTCTAAAAGGAAAGATAGCAAAAAACTTCTTGACATTGGTCTTTGCAATGATTTCTTGAATATTACACCAAAAACACAGGCTGTCGCAAAAGGTTAGATTTCCTTTTTTTATGGCCAACTAATATTTCACTGTGCAAATGTTCCACAGCTTTTTCACCCATGCCTCTACTGGTGAGTGAAAAAATAGCTTGGCTATTATAAATAATAATATGCAATGCTCATAGGGGTGCAAATATTCTTTTGCATTAGTGCTTTGTGTTTCTTTGGATATTCCCAGAAATGGAATTATGGGTCAGAAGGCAGTTCCATTTTTAATTTTTTGAGGAAACTCCATACTATTTCCTCAAAAACAGTGGCTGCACCAGTCTGCATTCCCACCAGCAGTCACAAGAGTTCTCTTTCCTCCACATCCTTGCCAGCACTTGTTAATTGATGACTAGCCATTTTGACAGGTGTGAGGTGAGAAAGTCAATTACAAAAGTGAACAAGGAATACATGAAGAATTAGTAGAATCCAATGTCCAA